ATCTATCTATCTATCTATCTATCTATCTATCTATCTATCTATCTATCATCTTTGTATCTATCTGTTTGTCTATCATCTATGTATCTGTCTGCCTGTCTATCTATGATGATCAATAAAATCAAGTACCAAAGTAGGAAGGACTAGATCAGCCATGATGGCACATGTGTTTAGTTTCAACACTTGGGAGACAGAGACAGATGGATTTCTGTGAGTTTCTTGTGGAACATAACATGTTCCAGGCCATATGTTCAGGGATACATATGGAGATTCTGTCTAAATAAATAAAGCATATAGGACTTACAAACAGATATTTAACTTTCCATGCTACAAGTTGTTAAACCAAAGTCTAAAAACAATAGTACCCAGTTGACCTGCTTTCACCAAAAGTAAAATTATTAATATAAAGAAACAGGATTTTAATTACCTTTCAGAATATCAAAATATCTGAAATTTGTTTCATTTTTATTTTTCTTCTTTTGTTTAGGCTTATGATATAAATAATTGATTCATAATATATTATATTATTTATAATTTTAAAAAGATGTGCATTAGTGGGAATGCATGTTTACCAATGTTTACAGATTACTATTTTAGATATCAAAAGCCATTTAAAACTTTAAAAGTAAAAAGAATAATTTAATCTGATCTGAATTTTAGAAACATAATCTTGGGAACAGGAGATGAGAGTGAAAACAGTGGAAAGCTAAAGGTGTTTTAAAAATCTGTTACTACTTTAATGCAGAAGTATCTACAAAGGCCCTCTACTTTTGAGTTCTTTCTCATAGCACATGGTTAGACTTTAGCAGAAGCTTTCTGCAGAGCAAGGTCTATTCTGCAGCTCAACCCAGAAAGCAACGAGGGCCAAACCAAAGGCAAGATGGAGCCATAAAAGGATAACTTGGTGCAACTCTGGCTCCTGTGACCACTGAAACATTTAGTAATTTTCTGCAGGTTACGATCAGATCAGAGAAAGAAATGAATATATCTATCTTCTGACATTCGTATTTATGATATCTTGAAGTCATTTTAAAGATTTTTAGCAATGGAACGGTATGATAAGTGAACAGTAGAATGTTGTTTCCCTGCCTCTTTCTTACTACCCTGAGCCAGCTTCTTCCCGTGGTAATCATGTGTGTGACCAGGCTGATTTACTTCCTTCCATTTTCTATACATATATACTTTTAATGTGTAGATATGTGTATGTTTTACACATGTTTGTGTGCACTTATATAGCTCTAGATTACTGACATCACAAAAATACAATCATAGTCACATGATCTACAGTTTCTTCTTTCACTTAGCAATATTTGACGGTCTCCCCTCTCGGACAGACCATATGGATACATATGCTTTTTTGCATAGCTGCAGGTAATGTTATCATAGGGATGGGTAGACTATAGGTTACTAAACCATTCCATTACTGATGGACTCAGCGGTGTCTTCTGTGTTTCCCCTTTACAGTAAAACCACAATGAAAATCTTGGCTCATAAATCTTTGTACACTTCACTCAGTAGGATATATTTCTATAAGTAGAGTTTGGGGATAAAAGGTACATTTAAAACTAAATAAGCACTAAATTAGACTTCAAAAATAATGATTATTATTTGAATTTAATCATTCCTCGTTAATTTTTCATTTTTGTCTAGTTTTAGTCTCTTTTCCCACTTTTTAAATTCTTTGACACTTTCCTACATGATGAATACAATATTACCTTTATCATATCCAGCCCCTAGGTCTTTGTTTTCTGAGACAGAATTTTATCGTGCAACCCAGCCTGATCTAGAACTCACTGTGGAATAGCATGGATCACCAGCCTCACTCTCCCAAATCTGTGCCACCACATTTGACTTCATTAAAGTTTTTTTTTTATATAGTCCTAAATTCAGTAAAAGCTCTCAGTAAACCTCTCAATTGCACATGAGACAACAAAAGTTCCAGAGATAACACCCTATGTGCTATGCAGTAACTTCCAGAAGCACATTGTGCCAAGTGAGTTTGAACAACATGTGTTTCTATCAGCCACACTAACAAGTAGAAAGCGACTATTATCTCATTCTCTTCACACACTCTCAGCAAGAAAAGCAAAACCAGACAGTAAGTTCCCAAAAGATACAATGAACGCATGACAGGACAGAAAAGTACCCTCAGACCTGGTGGAGTGCTAGACACTTGGAGCTGAAGACACCGTAAGTTCAGCTACGGAGCAAGCAAGTGTGGTGGAAAGACTCTGACACGGGATAACCTCAGCAAAATCCTTCCACAGGCTTCGTGGTGGGGTGTATGAAAACTTTCTTGGTTCTAAGTATCTCCATGTGGCATCTAGAATGAATGCCAGTACTGAAACCAAATTCTGAAGAGAAATATCAGAAAAGAACTAACATCCCACAATGAAGAAACATCTTCAAAGAAGATGTTGTTATAAAAATACCACAAAAGTACTTTCCAATAAATTCCAGACCTAAAAGTAAAGCTTTAAAATGAGACTCCAAGCACAAGGTCCTGAATCCTCTGCTATGTGCCTAGAGAGGCCCACTTAGAGGAAGCACTTCTAAGCAGATAACACTGCCTTTCTGTGATGAGACTGGGGTCCAGCAAGGAGAAGAGACTAGGTAAAGCTACCTGCTTGAAATTAGAATGGTCTAGAACTATTCTAGGAACAAATGTTTGCAAAAAGACAGAGGGTCAATATTTTACGGCCACATAAATGTTGCAATAACTTTGAAGTTGTCATGAAGAATGGTTGAGCAATATATAAGCAAAGAAGCATACACAGTTGTACTCTACTGCAACCTGACTGAAAAAGGAATTGTGAATCTCATATCACTTTAGGAAGGTTAGTAACTATTTAGAGCTACTAATTATTGCTTACATTTTTCAAATCATTAAAATCTGAAATCCACCTTCAGTTGATGAGCCCAAGCAGTGAGCTAGATTTAGCTGGTAATCCATAACTTGCTGACCTCTGGCAAAGAAGCACCAGAATTTCACTGAATCCAAACAGAGGATAAAAGGAAATGTGTTAGCCCAACCCCTAGAAACATCAGGGAAGAAGACAGAGCAGGAACAGCTGTTCCCAGATGTTTCCCATGTTTACCTTAGGTCTCTTCTCTTGCCCACTTCATCAGGTGGAATTGTCCAGGGCAGACTTTGAGGGAGACATTCAAGAACTTCTGAAGAGAAATCAGAGAAGTCCACACCATATTCTGTTAGGATCCCTTCTGTTTCAGGCTCGATTTCACCAGCCTGCCCAAGACTCTTAGCCAGCTGCCTGTGGACAGAGCAGAAAGTGGACAATTATTGTATTAGTGAACAAATAAAATGTAGGCCTCTATCTTTTTTCTAAAATAACTATAAAATGACTATAGGACAATTGTACCTTCTAGAGGCATTCTAACAGAGGAAGAAGGGCAAAAGGCAGAACTTCTTGGAACTCCTGCAATTTTACTTATGGAGAAGTCAACATTGGTCTTCACATGCCCTTGTTTTTGACCGTCTGATTATATATCCAGAGTGCCCTCCGACTGGTAATTCTCTTGCCTCAGCCTCCCAAGTACTGGGATTCTAGGCAAGTGCCATCATGCTCAGCTGTGTGAAATGCTTGCATGGGGGTTTTTTGGGAAATTCCTTTAGAAAAGTTTTATCAACTTAGCTTGCTGTTAAATTATATGAAAGAAGGAAGCAGCCCGGCCTCTATATTAGGAGAGACAATAGGGGAGAAGGCAGAGCCCAAGTATGAGCTCCTCCCACAGAAGCCATGATAAAGCAGCTCCACAGTCCACACACACCTGCTTACCAGCCCACCATCTAGCGACACTGTGTAGTACCCACAGTCAATACGCCAACCCTTCAGAATTATAGACCTCATTAAATGCCTGTTTTCTTTTATAAGTTGCCTTGGTCATGGTGTTTTATCATAGCAATAGAAACCCTAACTGAGACAAGGGAACACTATAGAATCTAGGTAAGTAATAGGAAAGAAAAAATAAATAATAACTAATGGATGGAAAGAATATAAATCATAAAGAAAGAGTAAAACAGATGACATCCTAGTTAGATTCATCAAGGAAAATGGAGAGGCAAGGGCACAAATTCTAAGCATCAGAGTAAGAGTGGGGACATTTGTTAACATCCTACAGCATAAAAAGCATAAGGGAGGACTGAAGTCGGGGACCCCTGTGGTTTAATTAGAGATAAGGCTGGAAGAAGCTGAGGAGGGCGACGCTATAGGAAGACAGCAGACTCAACTAACCTGGTCCCCAAGACCTCTCAGACACTGAGCCACCAAGCAGGCAGCATACACCAGGTGACATGAGGCCCCCAACACACAGACAGCAGAGGACTGCCTGGTCTGGCCTCAGTGAGAGAAGATGCACCTAACCTTAAAGAGACTTGAGGCTCCAGGAAGTGGAGAGGCCTGGTGGGGCATGGGGGGTTACATCCTCTTGGAGACAGGGAGGAGGAGGAACAAGGAATTGTGGGAGGGCAGACCAGGAGTGGGTTAACACTGGACTGTAAAAAAATATTAGTAAAAAAAAAAAAAAGCTAGTTAAGGGGGTAACTAGTGATTTTTATCCAATAAATTGAACATCTTGGATGTAACAGGTAAATTTCTTGAAAGATACAAACAGCCCAGGATTCTTAAACAATAAATCAATATCTGACTATCCCTGTATTTATTAAGAAAATTGAACTGGCATTTTAAAATCTTCTCACAAAGAAAACTCAAAAGTCCAGGTTTTCCTGATAGCGCCTACTAAATACATAAAACAGAATTCAGCTGTTATATTTTAAAAGTATCATAAACAATTAATTAAAAATTTATCCTACATAAGAAAATTAATCACTATAATTCACCCTAGTAAGAATCACAGAACATATACAATCTCAGTAAAGTAATAAACATAATTTGACAAAATTCTCACATTCATTTACAATAAAGGCACATGATCAATAGAAGAAGCTTCTTTGATTTCATTAAAAATGTCCAAAAAAATCCTAGAGCTGGGCCTGAGGAGATGACTCAGCCAGTAAAATGCTTGCAGTGTAGAAATAAGGATATCAGCTTGGAACTTAACACCTATGTTGAAAAGAAAGGAAGGAAAGAGTGAGGGAAAGAGGGAGGGAAAGAAGGAGGGAGGGGAAGAGGGAGGGAGGGAAGAAGAAGGGAAGGAGAAAGGGAAAGAGGAAAGGAGAAAGGAAGAAAGGAAGGAAAAGCCAGCTGTGGGTATATATGTGCTTCTGTAATCCCAGCATTGAGAAGTTGAAGTCAGGAGGCTCCTGAAGCTTGCTGGCCAGCTAGCCTTGTCAAATTGTTGGGCTCCAGGTTCAGTGAGAAGACACTTTTAAAATATAGTGGGTAGCAAGAGAAAACACCAATGTCAGGCTTCCACATGCACACACATATATGCACATATATGAACATGTACACATACATATCCTCCCCCATCCTAGAGCTGATACCAAACTTACCAGTTAAAGTCTAAATGCTTTCTTACAGATCAGGAAAAAGATAACTTCATTAACACTATTCTACATTGTTCCAGAGGAGCCTAGTGAATGCTATAAAAGGTAAGCAAGGCATAAAATTAAAATAAGACTTCTCACTGCATATAGTGGACAAAGTGAGTTCAGTTCCCACGACAGAAATGACCAGTCTCCTACTGTATGTTTCCTGTAAGAGCTCTCTGTGTGTATAAAAACAGAATCCATCATACTGTATTTAAACTCTCAACCCAAGATTCCTAGTTCAGAGACAGTGCCCCACAGACAAGAGAAGTCTCAGTACTCACATATGGCAATAAAAACACTTAGTGGTTGCAGAGGTAGCAGCAGGGTTGTGTAAATGATATCTTGCAAGAGGAGATGTGGGATCTACTAGCATTGTGGCCACATAATCCTTACATAAAATGAGGTCTAGGCTTCTTGGCTCTGCAGAATTACCTTTGCAGCACTCTCAGGGGGCCAAGCCTTCACTGTTTCTGCAATCCCTTCAGTGCTCTTCCAATAAATTCCTTTTCCTAAACAGAGTTCCATTCTGTTGCTTGTAACCAAGAACCCAGACAGTTAAGGACATGGGTCCCAATAATTTTCAAAATGCTAAGGAATCTTTTAAAATGACTAACATTTACTTGTGCTCAGCAGACTGAACCTCCCACTAAAGATTTCAGGGAGCTCGATCACAACCTTTGAAGCTAAAGGTCATAAAAATCCAACCTTAATCCAGGGATGGAATAAGGCTACTTAGAATAAGCCTGTTATTCAGGTTAAAAAGAACGTTATTCTAGTGATGAAAAGTAATAATTAGTCATTAAAAATTAGCTAGGATTTTGAAAACTAATGGGCTCTGAGTTATTCCCTAGTCATGTGGCCTATTTATTAATCTCAGTCTCCTGAGGGTCTGATTCCACATTTTTCTTCTAACATCAAGGTCTTTTTTTATGTATATGAGTGTTCTGTCTGCATAAATGTCTATGCCCTGCTTATGTCCCCAGTACCCACAAACATCAGAAGAGGACTTTGGATCCCCCGAAACTAGAGTTGCTAATGGTTGTGAGCAGCCATGTGGATGCCAAGAACCAAACCTGAGTCTTTTGGAAGGGCAACTAGTACTCTTAACAACAGAGCCATCTCTCCAACCCTCTAATAAAAATGTCCTGAACTGTTTAAGTTCTTGGTTACAAGCACAAAAAACAAATTTGGTTGGAAAAATTTTATTGGAAAGATAAAGAGGGCCTCACAAAAAACAGGCTTGGAAAAGGGGAGAATGGATAGACAAAGAGTGAAAAGCCCAATCTCTGGATCTTGATTCCAGGCTAAGAATAGAATAAAAAGACTTCCACTGAAGAGGGTATTGAATTTCTTACAGAGGGAAAGTCACATCATTGAACTTAGGGTCTTACTAAGTCCCTTAAGTAAAAATTTGGGGCACCACAGAAGACATGTATGAAGGCATGTAGGAAGAAGATGAAGGAAGAGCTCATCGTCCTAACTGCAGAGCTCCCACTGGCCCTTTACACACTCATAGTAAGTGGATGACTGTAATATCCCAACCCCTTTGAACATGTGGTCTCTGAAAAGGCAGAATAGCAGAAACTTTCTAATGTATCTGTAGTCTGCTATGGCTGAGGAAAAAAGACTTAATAGGCAGTAGCTACAAGTTTAACCAATGGATAGGGACCTGAAAGGCCTGGTAATAAGGGGATCTAGACAAGGGATAAGTGAATAAAATAAGTTTATTGAAATGATCCTGGCAGAGTGTGAGTGTTTATACTGTGTGGTGGTTAGTCTTCACTGTCAACTAGGCTGAATTTAGAATCATCAACAAAATATACCCTATAGGTTTGTCTGAGTATGTTTCCAGAAATGTTAAACTAAAGGGGGAAGACGACCTACCCTGGATGTGGGTGGCAGCATCCATGAGCTCGGGCCCTGGACTTAATATAAAGGAGAGTGAGCTGAGCACTGCCATCCATCTCTGTTTCCTGACAGCAGATGCAATATGGCCAGCTGCCTCACACTCTGTTACCATGACGAGCTGCTTCCCCTTGAACTATGAGCCAAGAGAAACCTTCCTTCCTTAAGCTTCTTCTTGTAAAGTATTAGGTCACAGTGATGAGAAAAGGAACTAATGCATACTGCATGAGAGATCTTGGTCAAATAACTCAATGTGAAGGCTGCAAGGGGCTCCCTGAGAACAGTCACACCCATGCTTCCTCAGAGGGTTTAAAACACAGAGGACAGCAGCAGGAAATGAACACCACAATACTAACTTCTCATTTGACTTGGCTCCCATCCTCTTAGCACACCAGTGTGCCAACAGCCAGCCACAGCCAGCTGTGACAGAGAATGAAGCTAGGAGGACATCTGACAGTTGATTATGTCTAATGAGGTCTTCATGACAGAGTGACCTTTCTCCATTAATCTGGAAACTCTAGTTCTGGGTTTGTGACTGCTATCTTCATTTGCTCTACCTACCATACTTGTATAAATAAATACCACAACATATACATTCAGAGTAATTTATAAGGTATTATATGATCAGATATTATCTCATGCAATATTATCTTTTTGAAAGAAGTAAATATTTTAAGAATTCACTGACTTGAAGTGTATAATCAGGAGATAGCCCTTACCAGACTGCAGTGTTAGCTTGCCAGAGACAGTGGTGCCCTAGCTTAGCATTCTAGGGATAAGATCTGAGACTCCAGGAAGCAAGGCAAGAGTGTCAGACCGTTTCGAGTCACAATGGAGACCTACTTGTAGCTGGGA